CTTACAAAAAGGACGCGATATGATTCTTTAGTTCTTAATAAATCAAAAAACTTTATGACGAAATCGAATATTTCATCATTATTCGCATAGTTTGTGATAACAAAGTTCAAGAGTCGTTAGACAAAACAAAAATTTATTTACGAGAACTATACATACATATATAGTGGAATAATATAAAACTTTTTAAAATTTAAATCTTTTATCAAAATTTCAAAATATTTTAATTCATAACCTTATTAATTCATCAAAATAAGAAGAATATTTTTTACTCTATTTTCAGATATCTCAATGCTATTCATCTGGTATTCGTGAAAGATCGAAAATAAAAAGAACGCCTTAACAAATTATGTTCTTCGTATCAGGTGAGTTCCTTTTACAATTTTATCTTTAATTAAAAAACATATTTAATTGCTTTCGTGATTTAAAGGGCCTAAGGCCAAAAATTTATTTAACAAATGTGCCAAGAAGATAACATTTCTAAAATTGTGTAAAAATTCCAAACATTTTAGTGCTTAAAAAAAAAATCAATTTATGTTTGTAACAATAAAGCCACACCAGCCAAAGTCCATTTGCCTGGTTTATCCTTAGTTTTTAAATTAAAGTCCAAACGTAAGTGGGACCACGAGTGCGTGTCTTATAGACGGGACACTCATACATATTGCGCAAATCCTGTTTATCCTGGGTAATGGCCTGCAAAAAAGAAAAAAAACAATGAAAGTATTAAAATAACTGCACTTATTACATGAGTGTATGTGTTAGTTTACATTAAAAAATGGCGCCAAATGGCAATGTTAATTTTCTTTAATTTAAATTTTTTGCATAATTTCAACTTGAATTTCAAATTGTTCAGTTTTGTGTTGTGTTAACAAAAACAAAAAACCCAATCATATAGATATCTAGCAAAACATGCATTAATTAAATATTTATTTCTATGTATTTAGTTTTTAAGTGTTTTGATTTATTTATGAATGATGGTATCAGGCTAGGGAAGTTCAAATTTTGAAATACATATTTCCTGCTTTTAGCAAAAAAGTACTTTTGTTAGCGTTACATGTACTAAAGCCTACTCTATAGTCCAGTCTATAGTCTAGTCTACAGTCTAGCCTATAGTCTAGTCTACAGTCTAGCCTATAGTCTAGTCTATAGTCTAGCCTATAGTCTAGTCTATAGTCTAGCCTATAGTCTAGTCTATAGTCTAGTCTATAGTCTAGTCTATAGTCTAGCCTATAGTCTAGTCTATAGTCTAGTCTATAGTCTAGTCTATAGTCTAGTCTATAGTCTAGTCTATAGTCTAGTCTATAGTCTAGTCTATAGTCTAGTCTATAGTCTAGTCTATAGTCTAGTCTATAGTCTAGTCTATAGTCTAGTCTATAGTCTAGTCTATAGTCTAGTCTATAGTCTAGTCTATAGTCTAGTCTATAGTCTAGTCTATAGTCTAGTCTATAGTCTAGTCTATAGTCTAGTCTATAGTCTAGTCTATAGTCTAGTCTATAGTCTAGTCTATAGTCTAGTCTATAGTCTAGTCTATGAGTCTAGTCTATATCTAGTCTATAGTCTAGTCTATAGTCTAGTCTATAGTCTAGTCATAGTCTAGTCTATAGTCTAGTCTATACTAGTCTAGTCTATAGTCTAGTCTATAGTCTAGTCTATAGTCTAGTCTATAGTCTAGTCTATAGTCTAGTCTATAGTCTAGTCTATAGTCTAGTCTATAGTCTAGTCTATAGTCTAGTCTATAGTCTAGTCTATAGTCTAGTCTATAGTCTAGTCTATAGTCTAGTCTATAGTCTAGTCTATAGTCTGTCTATAGTCTAGTCTATAGTCTAGTCTATAGTCTAGTCTATAGTCTAGTCTATAGTCTAGTCTATAGTCTAGTCTATAGTCTAGTCTATAGTCTAGTCTATAGTCTAGTCTATTAGTCTAGTCTATAGTCTAGTCTATAGTCTAGTCTATAGTCTAGTCTATAGTCTAGTCTATAGTCTAGTCTATAGTCTAGTCTATAGTCTAGTCTATAGTCTAGTCTATAGTCTAGTCTATAGTCTAGTCTATAGTCTAGTCTATAGTCTAGTCTATAGTCTAGTCTATAGTCTAGTCTATTAGTCTAGTAGTCTATAGTCTTGTCTATAGTCTAGTCTATAGTTAGTCTATAGTCTAGTCTATAGTCTAGTCTATAGTCTAGTCTATAGTCAGTCTATAGTCTAGTCTCTAGTCTAGTCTATAGTCTAGTCTATAGTCTAGTCTATAGTTAGTTCTATAGTCTAGTCTATAGTCTAGTCTATAGTCTAGTCTATAGTCTAGTCTATAGTCTAGTCTATAGTCTAGTCTATAGTCTAGTCTATAGTCTAGTCTATAGTCTAGTCTATGTCTAGTCTATAGTCTAGTATATAGTCTAGTCTATAGTCTAGTCTATAGTCTAGTCTATAGTCTAGTCTATAGTCTAGTCTATAGTCTAGTCTATCGTCTAGTCTATAGTCTAGTCTATAGTCTGATTATAGTCTAGTCTATAGTCTAGTCTATAGTCTAGTCTTAGTCTAGTATTCTAGTCTAGTCTATATCTAGTCTATAGTCTAGTCTATAGTCTAGTCTATAGTCTAGTCTATAGTCTAGTCTATAGTCTAGTCTATAGTCTAGTCTATAGTCTAGTCTATAGTCTAGTCTATAGTTAGTCTATAGTCTAGTCTATAGTCTAGTCTATAGTCTAGTCTATAGTCTAGTCTATAGTCTAGTCTATAGTCTAGTCTATAGTCTAGTCTATAGTCTAGTCTATAGTCTAGTCTATAGTCTAGTCTATAGTCTAGTCTATAGTCTAGTCTATAGTCCAGTCTATAGTCTAGTCTATAGTCTAGTCTATAGTCTAGTCTATAGTCCAGTCTATAGTCTAGTCTATAGTCTAGTCTAGTCTAGTCTATAGTCTAGTCTAGTTTAGTCTAGTCTAGTCTAGTCTAGTCTAGTCTAGTCTAGTCTAGTCTATAGTCTAGTCTAGTCTATAGTCTATAGTCTAATCTAGTCTAGTCTAGTCTAGTCTAGTCTAGTCTAGTCTTGTCTAGTCTAGTCTAGTCTAGTCTAGTCTATAGTCTAGTCTATAGTCTAGCCTATAGTCTAGCCTATAGTCTAGTCTATAGTCTAGTCTTGTCTATAATCTAGTCTATAGTATAGGCTATAGTCTAGTCTACAGTCTAGTCTATAGTCTAGTCTATAGTCAAGTCTATAGTCTAGTCTATAGTCTAGTCTATAGTCTAGTCTATAGTCTAGTCTACAGTCTAGTCTGTAGTCTAGTCTATAGTCTAGTCTGTAGTCAAGTCTATATAGTCCAATCTATAGTCTAGACTAGTGTAGTTTATAGTCTAGTCTATAGTCTAGTCTTTAGTCTAGTTATATTAACCGATATGTGGACTAGTGTATGAACGATTCTATGAACTGGACTTTTGACTAGTCCATCTACTTCTGTTTATGGACTGGTCTACCAATTGTTTACAATGGACTTGTTTACGGAATAGTTTCATAACATATTTATGTACTAGTTTTTGGACTATTTTGTTGGTCAATGGTCTAATCTATTATATGGAATAGTGCGTCGATTGGTCTATTGACTTGTCTATTGACTGGTGTTAACTAGTTTATTAACTAACCTATAACCTAATTAGTCTACTGACTAGTTTTGGACTAGCCTATTGACTAATCTATTAGCAAAAGTTTATAATTTCAAAAATTATTTAAAATATCTTGGGGTTTGTAAAAATGTTTTGATCTAAAAAGTGTTTTCCATCTCAGGCTTGTATAGTTATTTTTTTATTTGTTTTTGCTTTAATTGTATTTCGAATTTATTAGAAATTCTGTAGAATTTCTATGTATGTTTGTAAGTATAAATATAAACTCACTCGTATATTAATGACCGGCATTGGGGGATAAAGTTCTTTAAGACGCGACTCCATAATTATACCTTGTTGTATATCCCATCTGGCGCCTTCCATAAATATGCCATGAACGTAGGCGCCTTCTCTTGGCGCTGATCTATAAGACAAACAAAACAAACAGACAAATTATACAGTAGACAAAAATAAAAATCGCAAAACTTAAAAAGCAATTGAATTGAGCAAAAAAAAAACACAATCACATATAATTTACAAATTAAATTCAATTAAATACGTGTCTATAAATAGCTAAAAAAATCACAACAATAAAAATAAAACAAAACGGTTAATTAGTTTATGACTACAACTCAATTATTAGTTTGGAAATAAAATCTGCTAAATTGTTATTGGCGATATAGCGCTACATTTACTGCAGCTGCCGACAATGTAGTAGACATTAGTCAGTCCAGTCCAGCCCAGTTTGCCGGTAAAGTACACAGTTCAGATGAAAAACACAATATACACGAGTTATAATTTATGGTGCCAATCTGTTGATGACGCTTTCTTACTCTCGATAACGTCAAATTGTCGCCGCCGTCGCCTCAGATAGCCGACATGTTAATCGTCATTTACCTTTTTAATTCAAACCATTCTATTTGCATAATAATATTTTTAATTGCTTGTTTTTGTTTTTTTATTTTTGTTTATTTAATTTTATAATTAAAAACCGCAATTGTTTATTATTATTTTAAATGGATTATTTAATTCTTGGATTTGTTTTTATTTGTTTATAGATTTTGGTTAAAAAAAGTGGGAATTCCTAGAGTTGTTTTGGTCAAATGAACTAATTTTGATGATTTTGAAAATTTAAACTTTTGATTAGATAACCTTTTCGGTTTTTGAAAAGGAAATATAAAAGTCCATAATTTAGAAAAACTTGAGTAGCTAGTTTTTATGTATTGACTTGACACTATTAATTAGACTATTGGCAATTCTACGGATTAGTCTATGTAGTAGTCTATTGATTAGTTTACGGACTAGACTATTCACTAACATATTGTCTAGACAATTTTCTAGTCGATTGACTACAAAATTGACAAGTCTACGGATTAGCCCATGGATTAGTTTACGATCTAGACTTTTGATTAGTCTATTAACTAACATATTGCTAGTCGATTGAATATTAAACGGACTAGTCTATAAGTTCGACTACGAATGAGTCTACTGACTGGTCTATGGAATAACCTATTAACTAGACTAAAGATTAATCTACTGACTAGTCTTTTGATTAATTATTGACTTAACTATCGACTAGACTATTAACTAGCCTATTGGGCCGACTATTTAGTAGTCTTTTAGCAAGTCTTCGGACAATTCTATATATTAGACAACGGACTAATTGCTTAAATTAAATTTTAATAAATTTAGCTAATAGTATAAAATAAGTACATTATAAAAATACTATTTACAATTTACTTCGAAATGTGACAATTATTAAACACTTTACTGACCCATGACAAAGATATGTTCGTTCATTCGCATCTGTTTTTTTTTTATTGATAAACGGTAAAATCAAAAAACAACAATACTATACACGAGAAAGAATAACAAATAATTTCTTCTTTTGCAAAATAAAGGTCATAAAAAGTGTCAATTAAATAATAATCAAACCAACTATTCGAACGAAAATAAGAAAAAAACAAAGAAGAATTGAAACTGAAAACTAAGACATTTACTGGGAAATTGATCATATTTATTTATTTGAGTTGCATTGATTTCTTTTGACAGTCATTTAAAATGATTAAAAGTTTCTAAGATAGTTGGTTAGTTAGTTAATTAGTTAGTTATTCAGTTAGTTAGATAGTTAGTTAGTTAGTTAGTTAGTTAGTTAGTTAGTTAGTTAGTTAGTTAGTTAGTTAGTTAGTAGTTAGTTAGTAGTTAGTTAGTTAGTTAGTTAGTTAGTTAGTTAGTTAGTTAGTTAGTTAGTAGTTAGTTAGTTAGTTAGTTAGTTAGTTAGTTAGTTAGTTAGTTAGTTAGTTAGTTAGTTAGTTAGTTAGTAGTTAGTTAGTTAGTTAGTTAGTTAGTTAGTTAGTTAGTTAGTTAGTTAGTTAGTTAGTTAGTTAGTTAGTTAGTTAGTTAGTTAGTTAGTTAGTTAGTTAGTTAGTTAGTTAGTTAGTTAGTTAGTTAGTTAGTTAGTTAGTTAGTTAGTTAGTTAGTTAGTTAGTTAGTTAGTTAGTTAGTTAGTTAGTTAGTTAGTTAGTTAGTTAGTTAGTTAGTTAGTTAGTTAGTTAGTTAGTTAGTTAGTTAGTTAGTTAGTTAGTTAGTTAGTTAGTTAGTTAGTTAGTTAGTTAGTTAGTTAGTTAGTTAGTTAGTTAGTTAGTTAGTTAGTTAGTTAGTTAGTTAGTTAGTTAGTTAGTTAGTTAGTTAGTTAGTTAGTTAGTTAGTTAGTTAGTTAGTTAGTTAGTTAGTTAGTTAGTTAGTTAGTTAGTTAGTTAGTTAGTTAGTTAGTTAGTTAGTTAGTTAGTTAGTTAGTTAGTTAGTAGTTAGTTAGTTAGTAGTTAGTTAGTTAGTTAGTTAGTTAGTTAGTTAGTTAGTTAGTTAGTTAGTTAGTTAGTTAGTTAGTTAGTTAGTTAGTAGTTAGTTAGTTAGTTAGTTAGTTAGTTAGTTAGTTAGTTAGTTAGTTAGTTAGTTAGTTAGTTAGTTAGTTAGTTAGTTAGTTAGTTAGTTAGTAGTTAGTTAGTTAGTTAGTTAGTTAGTTAGTTAGTTAGTTAGTTAGTTAGTTAGTTAGTTAGTTAGTTAGTTAGTTAGTTAGTTAGTTAGTTAGTTAGTTAGTTAGTTAGTTAGTTAGTTAGTTAGTTAGTTAGTTAGTTAGTAGTTAGTTAGTTAGTAGTTAGTTAGTTAGTTAGTTAGTTAGTTAGTTAGTTAGTTAGTTAGTTAGTTAGTTAGTTAGTTAGTTAGTTAGTTAGTTAGTTAGTTAGTTAGTTAGTTAGTTAGTTAGTTAGTTAGTTAGTTAGTTAGTAGTTAGTTAGTTAGTTAGTTAGTAGTTAGTTAGTAGTTAGTTAGTTAGTTAGTTAGTTAGTTAGTTAGTTAGTTAGTTAGTAGTTAGTTAGTTAGTTAGTTAGTTAGTTAGTTAGTTAGTAGTTAGTTAGTTAGTTAGTTAGTTAGTTAGTTAGTTAGTTAGTTAGTAGTTAGTTAGTTAGTTAGTTAGTTAGTTAGTTAGTTAGTTAGTTAGTTAGTTAGTTAGTTAGTAGTTAGTTAGTAGTTAGTTAGTTAGTAGTTAGTTAGTTAGTTAGTTAGTTAGTTAGAACATACAGTGTACTCTGTCAACTTCGGTTTCTAAATTCCTTGTGACACCGATTCCATCCAACAGATCTATTCAATATCTTCCTACCAATGTTTTCAACCTAACCTAATCGTTACATTTAACTATTTTACACAACTGATTAATACTCACGTAAAATCTTCTTTTTGCTTTTTGGTCACATCACACTGCAAACACATTTTGTCCAATGGCAGCTCATTGCGACGAGCAGTACTTTGCATAATTGCCGTTAATAATGATTGAGGATTGAAAAAGCCAGCCAACCAAACACAAGAGGGCAACTGTTGTTGTTGTTAATGTTTGTATTTTTGTTTTGTATGTGGGGAATAAGGAAATATAACATTGACTTTTTAAACAAACGAGACTAAAAACTTTCACTTACCACAAAATCAGTAGACCAAGTCTCCAATTCTCGCAAACGTAGACACAAATCAATAAACCAATTATTTAAACCCAAGAGAGAAGGATAGGCTCTTTGGGTCCATACTGGCGGCACTTGATCCAAGAATAATGCATTTTCTAACACCTCCATATCAGAGGTTATAGTTAGTTCTCCTTTTAAGCCTAAGTCCAATTCTTTAAGACTTCTCTTCATTTCACTGGTTAAATAATTCATGCGCTCACATTCTTGGAAGGCTACTATAACATAGGGAGTTCTTTCCTCTACTTTATTCATGATTTCTATCATATTGAATTCCTCCGGTAATTTTTCTATAATCTCATCCACGATTTGCTTAACTTTATCCTCACGCGTTACAGTGGCTCCGCCACCAGCGCCAGCATCTCTCGGTTGCATTTCAAATACCGTACGGAATATGTTTTCGGCTCGTGTTGTCAAAAACCCAATTTCAGCATTTGGATGCAAGCCATACAGATAGGGAGACTCAGCTGGCATATTCTCATCTATATAGGCATGATAACCCAAATAATCAGTGTTAGGAGGAGCTGGAAAGGAGGGAGCCAAAAACAACTCTCCATCCACCAAATCCGGTTGCATATATTCCTCTAAATATGTTATACAAAGTTTACGATCCCAGTCGTCGGTGATATGACCACCATACATAATTTCACCAAATAAATAACGTAAATCTTCCCAAGGCACTTTAGCGTTGGCCTCCAAATAGTTGTAAAGCACCGATACACTAATATTCAGATCTCCCACATTAAAGGGATAGACCTTATTCCAACCCTGAGGCCCAAATTTACGACGTTCCGCAACAACAGCATGAAAGTAGCAAAGTGAAAAGAGTATAGCCTTAAATTCGGCTTCTTTTCCCGACATTTCCAGAGTCTCTTGGGTGAAATTGTCCAAAGCCTTATGGAGATTGGCCAACATGCCAGTGGGTGGTTCATTGGTGATTTTAATGGAGGATTCCAAAATGCCCTGTTGTGAAAGATAACGAACGAAAAGGTTAAAATTCGAAAAGTAGGAACGGAGCTTTAAAAATGTTATATTTTGGAACCTAATTCTGTTAGTTCTATAGTGCGTTAGAATGGGTCTGATAGGTCCGAATCCCTCTTGTATGGGAGAGTACAAAGTCTCGATGGTGGTCTAGCGCTAACTAACTAACTAACATTTTGAATATCTAAAAAAGTATTCAAATACATATGTATGTACCTGTGGTATTATATGGGCCGAGGGTGTGGAAGCCGGTTCAGCACTCAAAAACATACGATAGTCTGGATGTGAACCTTCGGCATAATATTCCAATTTCTTTTCCAAAACCGGCAGCCATTTGCGTACCAAATGTATATTTTGCAAAACAACCCAGTGGCCATTTTTGGCAGCCGTATCCATGGCGGCCTCAGCTATAGCCTCTTGACCCTGACCCAACGAAACATTGTGAAAATTATCCAGGTCTTGCGAATAACCTAGAAGTTTGCCTAAGGCTTCAACATCTTTAAGAGGATTTACACCGGGCGATAAAATAAAGAAGATGGGGGTAGAGGGTGAAGCTTCCTCAAAGGACTTGGCGAATTCCATGGCACGATTTTCCACATATTTAGAGCCAAGTTTTTCCTCTATAAAGTCTCTATAAAAGACATAGTTAAAAGGGAAATGAAGGAATTACTGGTACACTTACGCTAAAGCATAAGTCATACGATCCGGTCTCAAGGCCCTTATCATGCATAGCCTCTGTAGAGCAGTTTTGTTCTTCCATTCCTGAGGAAATTTCTCCTTTTCCGGTAATTCGGATTCCACTAGTTTTTTCCAACGTTTCGAAGAAGTTTCAATGTCACGATCTAAATTTCTAAATTCATCTTTGGAAGCTAGACTGCATATTCCGCCCCACGATTGATTGGATAGAAAATCAACTGGACTGGTGACGTGCGGTTTAATCGGGAAGCGGAGTAGGAAATCTAGTTCCGCAGAAGTTATTTCTTCGTTCATAAGAAGAATCTAATTAAAATAAAGAATTTTAGATGATATTAATATGAATGTTGGGGAAATATTTAGGAAAAACTTAACCTGGAAAGTCATTTGTGAAGCAAATATTAATTTATCACATTCAAACAGGCCTCTCGAGGTATATTGAAATACCGAATAGGTAATACAATCGATTAAATTTAAAACTCGCTGATTTAAAGTTTCGCCAGGGTCAGCCTTGGCAATGGCCTTCTGGAAAACCACACTAAAAGCCTAAATTTATGAAAAAAGAAGTAATTAAGAAAGTGTTTAATTATATGTGTAGGGGTGCTTAACCTTTAAAGAAAACTGATATATCGGGTTGATGGTATTAAGCTCATTCAAAATAAAATACAACAAACTGGCTCTAGCAGCAGCCGGACGATAATATTCTCGGGCTTTATCAATTTCTTTGGAAGTTATTTTAGCCTCAGCCACCTGAAATTTCAAAATAATTGTACATTACCTCAATCTAATGCCTGAACTCGGTATTTCAAACCTTCTCCTCAATTTCTGAGGCAGTACTTTTGGTAGTCTCCAAATTCTCTACTAAAGCCGTATCTCCCAAAATATTCTCCCCTGCCGAGGACAAACGAGACAGTAAATCATCTTCCAATTGTTTAAGCATTATTTTAAAATCATTTTGTTGTTTAGTTAGTTCAGCTTTTAATTCCTCCAAATCGGGTCTTTCGGCTTTAACTACTTCGGCCAAAAGTTGATCTTCTAGGCCATCGCGTGTAACCGTGAAATTAATTAATGTGGTTTGTGCTTGCATTTCAGGTTTATAGTGAGGATTTGCTAATTTTGTGTGTAAAATCAAGCGGAAATTGGAATTGTACTCAACTTCTTTGTCACCGATTTTAATGGCCCTAAAAGGAAATCAGAAAGGTTAGTTTTTATCCCCAATTAAGAGAAATATTACTCACTTTCCCTTTTTAATTAAGTTACGTCCCAATAACGAATCCAATACTGGATCCAATTGTTCATCGATATTTTCTATTAACACCGTATTGCCCTTGGTAATGGCTTTCTCGATTTCCTCCAAATAGCTACGTTGACCCATGCGTATGACTATTAACTGTTCACCATATTTTTGTTTGATCCATTTAACTCCTTGTAACTAGAAGTTTAAGATTTGACTTAAACATCTTTCCTAAAATTTAACATTAAGTTATCGTTTACCTGTGGATCTATCATTAACGGCCATCGATCGGAATTCGATAGTATAGTGGCATTTTCTATAGACATACGATCCGATGGTAGACCCTCATTTGTCCATATAGCTATGGTGGTATCATCTGTTAGTAGAGATAAGGGATCTAGATTCTCTGTGGTAGGTATAGGTGGATCTATATTCTTTAGGAATGGAGTCCACATTTTTTGTATCAAATCTATGCGAAATTGTTTGGTGAAACAGCCCACGTACGATATAAAAGCTGTGATTAGCAGTATATCTCCCGGTAGGGTTATGCCCTGTTTAACGAAGCTGGAAATTGAAATGAAGGTCAATTATCGGTTGTATGTAACATAAAGGTTTGCAAAATCAAAATATTTAATACTACAGGGTCTCTTTTTTAACCTCCCCAATTCTGAAATTCCCCTTTAAGGTCCCAGCCACAAAAATATCGGTAAAATGCGGTCTTATAAGAGAGCCCTCAAACCAAGCCACTTACTTATTAACAGCTTCAGCCCAGCGTACATTTTCACTAGCCAGACCACCCACTAAACGATTAGCCAAAGCTATGGTAGCTTGAGTAGCATCGGCCTCTTGCTGGCAGCGTAATTTATCAGCAGTGGCCTGTTCAAAATCGGCTGTCAACTTGGCAAGTTGTTCTTCCAAACTCTAGAACAAAAAAAAAAAACAATCAAACGAAGTTCCCAACCCAACCCCTCAATAACTCACCGTAACCTTACGCTTAATACCCGCCAATTTCTCCTGAGCAGCCGCCAGCTCAGCATTTGCTGCCGCTAAAGCTTTCCTCTTGGGCTCCACATCACAGAAAACCTCATAAAACTTAATAATATTAATAACCCAAGCACATAGACCTGCCGCAGCTCCCGATTTTGATCTAACAAACTCCGGTTCAAACTCGGGATCTTTTAGATAGGGATGTATGGCTTTAATAATCTCCGGGTGAATATTTTCCTTATCATAATTAATCAAAGAATCCAAAAATGTGTCCACTTTAGCCATGGAAATTTTGGCAGCCTTCCAAGAACGATCTTTGGGTAATTTACCACCCGGAGCCAGTAAAACCATAACAGCAGCGGTGACATTGGTTACGGCTCCCGGTGGCGAACCAAATGATTTCAATTCTGTTAGATTGGCTTTGTTTAAGGTATTCAAAGCTTCTTGGGCGGCCACCAAAGCCGGTTCTGCTTTTAACAAATCTTCCTCACAATCTTTCTGTTTTTTCGACACCTCATCGGCTATAAAAGCCACCTTCATTTCCTCCTCATCGGCGAAACCCTTCTCGGTTTGCACCTTCTCAGTTTCTATGCCCACTATCTCTATTAAAGCATCGGCAGCTTCATTTTTCTCTTTAAGCTCAATTTCCTGTACCGCCAATTTTACTTTAAGATCTGCCACTTGTACCGCTGTGGAACGCAATTTCTCTAAACCATTTTCCAATCGCACAATTTTACTTTGCAAATCCTTATGCTTGTCATTGAGAAGCTTAAGGTATAAACTGATCTGCTCCAAATAACTTTTGGGTGTGGTGTAATTATAACGTCTTTCATTTTGTAAATACACCTTGGACATGGTATTCACCGAGGTGTGAACATAAGCCATAAATTTAGCCACCGAATCCTGATGATTTGCGGGTAAAACTTGATTTTGCGAAAGGAAATTCATGGCCACTGATATAAGAGCCTCCTGAGGCCACTCATGAAACCAATTAATGGAGGTGGCATTGATGATGGCAGGGAATTTCCTGGACCGAACACGTAATGTTGAACCAACGGGCGAGAAACACAGAACTATTTTCAGCTGTTTACGTACACGATCTATAAAGAATTTCCAGCAATTTTCACGAGAATCCACCAAACCAGCACCTTTGACCTCATTGCGCACACCGGCTATAATATTCTCAATTTCATCGTCGGGGAATAGATCTGGAATCTCGCCAGTGGACAGCATATCGTTGATAAGGACTAGAAAATCTTCATTGGGAATTTGAGCATCTGTCATGAGAAACATAATGCCCACATTCTTTAGGCCTGCCTTCAAATATAAACCTGAAAATTCATTCTGGAATTGATACAATTTGAGAATTAAAAGCCCCAAGTTTTGAAAGAGAGTTTTGTACAAAACCAACCTTTAAATCATTTATGCCATAACCCTTTTTCAGTTGAATCTGCACGACTTCCAAACTCGAAATAAACGCTGCCAAACGAGCCAACGACTGTTTACCGCTGCCGCCGACACCCACCAGTAGAGCACTGCCACGTGGCGATTCCAATATACGATTTATACGACACACATGCATCATGGCATCCTCAAAAAGTACTAAATTCATGGCGGCAACAAGATCATTATATGAAGACATTGCCTCCGTGAGGAGTTTGTGAAGCTCAGTCCAACCCTTGATGGGCATGTACTTGGGTTCACCAATTCCTCCGGCGAAATGACAATAAATATTCGGTTTATCAAATATCACCGATTCGTCAATTTCTTCAAAGGATTTCTTCACAATGTCATGTTGCATTTTCGTAAAACTATCAATATCCTTTTCATCGATCAGTTTATCGGCATAGACACGTTGTGTTTCATGCTGCCACAGACGTATTAGATCCGTAGCGGTGGGCAAACAATCGGTTGTACTGAAAAGTAGACCCTGTTGTAAGAGGATTTCGGTTAGTTTCGGAAATTTTTGTTTAAATTTTCAACATTCACCTGAAAAACATTGCTTATATCGCGTAAATTGAATATATAATGCGATTTAATGGCTGTGGGTAAAAGATCTGCGATGATTTATTGTGTAAAGCCAAGGTAGCCGCCACTATGTTCCCCGACATTCTTGTTACTATGGGATTAAACTTTTGTTCGGCATTGGTAAAATGTTGTGACAATATCGAGTAGTACATGGTAGTTATGGACTCAGCGCCGGGAAAACTTACAGCCAACACACAAAAGTGACGTTGTAAACGGGGATTAATGGTGAAACTGCCAGCTGTAGGGTTCATACAGGCGACATATTGACAATTGTGTATATCTTTCAAAGTTAACTTGTTGCGATCATACCAATGACCATAATCCAAATGTTGACGCATTAGGGTATGAGGCTGGACCGTACCATAACAGTCCACCTCGGGCATATTCATATCATCGATGAAATATATTAGGGTTTTATTGCCAGGTGGTCCATAATTACGACCAGCTTTTTTCTCTAAAGGTTTCTCTAAGATTTTCTGCAACATTTCCGAAGTTGTATAGTAATTAAAGGGTATGGTGGTGACGGCATAGTTTTCCGACAACGATTGGAGTTTTTCATTAACCAGCACCGTTTTACCACAGCCGGCAGTGCCCACCAACATTACCGGATGTTTTTTGTCCATAAGTAAATCCAAAAAGAATCTTATTCGTATGGATTCAGAAGTATGAACCAAGATAGCCTGCAAAGGTAAATCACCATCCAATTCAAATTTGGGTATTTTATCGGTCCAGGGAACAAACTGCTTAGTTTCACAATCCAAAAAGTAATCGAAAACAGTGCCACCTTAAGAAACCCAAAACTCGATATGAAATAGTTTTCGAAAATTGAGAAGCTAAACTTCTTACCTTGGGGAAATTTAACCGTTTTGAACTCATTAACCCACCATTTGCTAAACTCTACACGATAGTCAATGGTTTGGTCCTGGAACATAGCCGAACCGAATGCCCAAATGCAGGCAAAAACGAAATAAAGTTCATGCCACTCTTTGGGACAGTCGGCTGGTGTGTTGGCCGGGGTCAAAAAGCATTCCAGCAGATGACATAACATTTGTATGTGAGCCATTTCGGCAATGGGTGTAATCTTCTTAAAACGAACTCTGATAGTTTCCAATGAAGCTGGTATATATTTATCAAATAACATAACTAAATTGGACTTTTCGGAGGGTATTTTACGTGTTTCCACCCAACTGGTCACATAACTAGAAAACAAAGACAAATTAAAAAAAAACAAAAAATTTTGGAAGCTTAAAAAACTTACGGATTCCAACCCAAATCCTGAGGATTTATATACAAAATACCCGCTCTTGAGACCGTAGCCGGTGTGGCTGTTCTCAAATTTGAAATCTCAAAAAGCAAACGCATCGAAGGCGTCAACGCAATGCGCTCATTACTGGCCAAAGTCAAGACTTTGTTGTCATCCATAACGGTATTTAAACTTTCAATCCACATGGGATCTATATCACCATCGAGCACAATCCACTTGGGTTGATCACCCGTTATGTTTGCTTGATCTCTCATTATTACCGAGAACAAACCATCTTTCCACTCTCGAGTGGCGGGATTTATTATGCCGAACAATTCATCATTGGTAACAGCTTTTGGATTTAAATCGTTGAATATGGGTTTCCGTTTGATATTCTGGTAGGTGCGCAATAGGGTTTTCCATACTTGTGTCTTCCCAGTGCCAGCATTACCAACAATAAAAACGGAATGTCTTACTTCTAATAGTTCCTCTAGTTGTACTACTTTTAGTATAAAAGTATCTTCCGTTTGTAGCAGTAAATCGGAAGCGGCTTGCTTTACGGTCCTTTCGAAATCTTGATCTCTTTTGCGCGGCACATCGAGAGCAGGGAAGAGATCACTTATCAAGCCCATAAATACTGGCATATCATCTGTGACAATTTTGGGTATATTAAAATCTCTCAAAGCTCTCATTAGCACTTCCTCCTCGGGGCGTCCGGGGTCACCTCGCTGAAAACAAAGTGGGATATTAATGTAAATTATTAAGATGATGATGATATTGAATTATAACAATATAATGTTCAGTCCAGTTTTGGACCCATATTAATTATGAGACTATACGCGATCCCTTTCTCAAAGGGTAAAGGGTTCCACTCACCTTCAATGAACCGGCTACAACTAAAACCGATTTAATAGCTCTTAAACCCCAATCATAATGATCCTGTTTGGACAACAGCTCTTTGCATAAAGTATATAAAGTTATAAATTTGCGCGCCAGAACACGAGCATCTTGAAATCCCTCAGCTACCAACATAATTTCGCAAATCAATTCAAAATCTGGCACCACCATAGCACAGGGTCTAAATAATGCCTTTAAATTCTCCGGTAATTCAGTACGTCCGGCATAGCCGGGATTCATAGTAATGAATATACCCACAGTGGGTACACATGTAATCATTTCGCCCATAAAATTAAACGTATCCTTCTTATCACGTATGGCATCTTGTACAGATTTCACCTGTACCGCTACCACCGATAAAACCTCCACTGTAATGCGATTGAATTCATCAAAACAACCCCAAGCTCCGGTCTGGGCTAAACCTTTGTAGATGTTGCCACACGATTGATAATCCATTTGTTCCGAACAGTTGAAAACATAAACCATAATACCAATAGCTCTGCCTAAATCTTTAGTAGTTTCCGTTTTACCTGTGCCAGCAGGTCCGGCTGGACCACCACCCATTACCAAATGTAAACTCTGGGTCAAAGTGATGTAACAGCGATCGGTTAAAGGAGTGATAACCAAACGTGGTGTATTGCCCAAATACTCATGATTATAGCGAAATTCTGCATCACATATGTTGGCAAAACAGTCTTTCTCCACATCGTCGAAACGATGGCGCAACTGGGATTGCCACATAAAGGCCGAACCGGAATCTAATTTGGCCTGAATCATTTTGGCCACCACGTCACGTGAATGTACATCAATGGTGCAAATGGTCATAATCTTTTGACGATCGCCCTTAGTGAGTTCCCCCAACAAAAGAGTGATCAGCAAACTCAATTGCGAGATCTGTTTCTTGTAGTAATCCTTGATGGCATTATCGTAACCCTCTTCCAGGCGGCTAAAGGCTATATTCACTTCTGTAGACCACCAAATTTGCGAACCACAGAGCGATACTTGGGCAGGATAGTCGAATAACCATTGCTCACGTTGCTTTTCCTCATAGGCCACCACGGCTTCGGAAATATAGAAGCGTAAAGAGGCTCTCATGGCGGCCTGTATACGATTGAGCCACACTTCGACGGGACCACGCATATTGGTCACCTCATTGAATTCCACATATTCACCATCCTTGGCATACATACCTGAAGCCGTTTCGATTTCATTCTTTTCACCCTGATTGAATTTCAAGCGTGCTATAGAATCAAACAGTTTCGTTAAATGCTTCGTCACCATGTCCGGTTGTATGCCATTGCTTAAAATATCCAATAGATCAGCGGAGGATACAAAGTAAAAACGAGGAAAAGCCAAACGTTTCGTTTCCAAATACTCTGCCAAAGCCTTTTCGCATAGTGTAAGCTCCTTCTGCAAGGTTTCCAAGCGTTCAATCAACCCGGCTCGATTAGTCGATGCCACCACATTATTCGACTGAGCCATCTCGCTCATTAGTATACGAAATTCCGTATCGATGCGATCGAAACGATCCGAGTCGACTGGTAGCTGTTTACGTATATCTTCCGAACTCATGAAGATACTCTCGAGATGGGTCCAAGTGCGTTGCACCTCGAACCAAACGGTTATCACCTGATCGGCTATCATTAGCTTATTCTGCCATGTTGATACCTCTTCGAGGAAATGGGCGATGTACTTGGATGTTATTAGATTCTGTAGACAAACTTGATTATCTTCGAGAGTCTCTATGAGTTCTTCCGAGGCTCTGAGGAGATTACATCCGGTGCGTGGATGGAGTTCATGATCAAATTCCATCGCAGACCATGTTGTATTCAAATCTCGCAATATCTTCTCCATAGACATTTCCTTGACGGCCTTGTCTACAATATTCTTAACCTCTTCTTCACATTCGTGCAGATTCAGGCCAAGTAGTTCGGCTAATGTTGTTTCGTGATCCATTATAAATTTAACCTAAAGTTAAGGTAGAGAAGTAAATGTGACAGTTTCATTATTGTGGAACTATTATGTTGAAAGGACACATAGAAACATGTTCATCATGCAACTAGTGCTTTAAGTAGTATAAGTTCGTGTGAGGACATTTACTTTTTGATTTTTGGATTATTTATTTACAATATATTATTTGAAACTTACAGTTATTTCCTTGGGTAAAGCTGATAAACTCTGTAAAGATATGTATTTACAAAAGCTGTACAAGAATTTATATACATTTAAAACAGAAGCTAAATAAAAATCTTGTGACTATACATTCGGATAACCTTTTTAATCGTTTGATTAAGGGTTTCATAGTGACAAACATGATGTTTTTATTGTTTAAATTAAAATTAAATTAAAAAATTTAAAATAATAAAATAGAAATACAACAATTCTATCAAAACAAAATTTTTAAAAGTTTGTGTTCAAAAGATCTCTAGCGTGCTGGAAAAAGTGGTTCCAATATACCCCTCACATTACTCAGTGCTTTAGCAACGTTTTACTTTGGAAAGAAATAGGCTCGGCACCTTATGAACTATTGGAAGTATCGTAACAAAATTTTATATAGATCGGCATCCTATGCGCAAAAGTCCAATAACAAGAAAAGTCCATTATAAAAAAATCTTAAAAATTCTGAAATGGCCGAAATTAAATGCAACAATTTTTGAAATATTTTTCTGTATAACCTCAAAATTACGACCTATTTCGATAAAATGCGGAAATAATAAGCCTCGCAAAACCCGTCATAGTACCTCTCAGGCCCATTCAACCTTGACCATAACAGTGAAGCATCATACACATTGAAGCTTCTGAATATGTAAATTTGATGCATCATAAGTGGAGATTTTGATACGGAAAAACAGGTTGAAGACCAAAAGTTGTAGGCATTATTCCCTGAAGATTGTAATCTAACTCTGGAATAGCTGGCAAAACCATTCAGGCCCATTCAACCTTGACCATAACAGTGAAACATCATACACATTGAAGCTTTTGAATATGTAAATTTGATGCATCAGAAGTGGAGATTTTGATACGGAAAAACAGGTTGTAGACCAAAAATTGTAGGCATTATTCCCTAAAGATTGTAATCTAACATAGGAATAGCTAGCAAAACCATTGGCAGCTACTTATGTAAATTTGATGCATCAGAAGTGGAGATTTTGATACGGAAAAACAGGTTTGAAGACAAAAATTGTAGGCATTATTCCCTAAAGATTGTAATCTAACATAGGAATAGCTGGCAAAACCATTTTCAGCTACTTAAGAAGCACTATTTGTTCCGATCGAAGTTCGTTAGTTAGTCAGTTAGTTAGTTAGTTAGTAGTTAGTTAGTTAGGTAGTTAGTTAGTTAGTTAGTTAGTTAGTCGTTAGTTAGTAGTAGTTAGTTAGTTAGTTAGTTAGTTAGTTAGTGTAGTTAGTTAGTTAGTTAGTTAGTTAGTTAGTTAGTTAGTTAGTTAGTGTTAGTAGTTAGTTAGTAGTTAGTTAGTAGTTAGTTAGTAGTTAGTAGTTAGTTAGTTAGTTAGTTAGTAGTTAGTTAGTAGTTAGTTAGTTAGTTAGTAGTTAGTTAGTTAGTTAGTTAGTTAGTAGTAGTTAGTTAGTTAGTAGTTAGTTAGTTAGTTAGTTAGTTAGTTAGTTAGTTAGTTAGTTAGTTAGTTAGTTAGTTAGTTAGTTAGTTAGTTAGTTAGTTAGTTAGTTAGTTAGTTAGTTAGTTAGTTAGTTAGTTAGTAGTTAGTAGTTAGTAGTTAGTTAGTTAGTTAGTTAGTAGTTAGTTAGTTAGTTAGTAGTTAGTTAGTTAGTTAGTTAGTTAGTTAGTTAGTTAGTTAGTAGTTAGTTAGTAGTTAGTTAGTTAGTTAGTTAGTTAGTTAGTTAGTTAGTTAGTTAGTTAGTTAGTTAGTTAGTTAGTTAGTTAGTTAGTTAGTTAGTTAGTTAGTTAGTTAGTTAGTAGTTAGTTAGTTAGTTAGTAGTTAGTTAGTTAGTTAGTTAGTTAGTTAGTTAGTTAGTTAGTTAGTAGTTAGTTAGTTAGTTAGTTAGTTAGTTAGTTAGTAGTAGTTAGTTAGTTAGTAGTTAGTTAGTTAGTTAGTTAGTAGTTAGTTAGTTAGTAGTTAGTTAGTTAGTTAGTTAGTTAGTTAGTTAGTTAGTTAGTTAGTTAGTAGTTAGTTAGTTAGTTAGTTAGTTAGTTAGTTAGTTAGTTAGTTAGTTAGTTAGTTAGTTAGTAGTTAGTTAGTTAGTTAGTTAGTAGTTAGTTAGTTAGTTAGTTAGTTAGTTAGTAGTTAGTTAGTTAGTTAGTTAGTTAGTTAGTTAGTTAGTTAGTAGTAGTTAGTTAGTTAGTTAGTTAGTTAGTTAGTTAGTTAGTTAGTTAGTTAGTTAGTTAGTTAGTTAGTTAGTTAGTTAGTAGTTATAGTTAGTTAGTTAGTTAGTTAGTTAGTTAGTTAGTTAGTTAGTTAGTTAGTTAGTTAGTAGTTAGTTAGTTAGTTAGTTAGTTAGTTAGTTAGTTAGTTAGTTAGTAGTTAGTTAGTAGTAGTTAGTTAGTTAGTTAGTTAGTTAGTTAGTTAGTTAGTTAGTTAGTTAGTTAGTTAGTTAGTTAGTTAGTAGTTAGTTAGTTAGTTAGTAGTTAGTTAGTTAGTTAGTTAGTTAGTTAGTTAGTTAGTAGTTAGTTAGTTAGTTAGTTAGTTAGTTAGTTAGTTAGTTAGTTAGTTAGTTAGTTAGTTAGTTAGTTAGTAGTAGTTAGTTAGTTAGTTAGTAGTTAGTTAGTTAGTTAGTTAGTTAGTTAGTTAGTTAGTTAGTTAGTTAGTTAGTTAGTTAGTTAGTTAGTTAGTTAGTTAGTTAGTTAGTTAGTTAGTTAGTAGTTAGTTAGTTAGTTAGTTAGTTAGTAGTTAGTTAGTTAGTAGTAGTTAGTTAGTTAGTTAGCTAAACGTTTACCCGATCCACTTAGGCAAAATTGGTTTATAAACCACTGCGCATCAGTATCGATTTTTATCTTTCTTTGGATTTAATTTGAATTATTTTTAAATTGATCATGAGTTTTGAATTGAAGGGAAAATTATATAAAAATAATATTTATAA